GTCAGAAAATCTGATTTCTGTGCCTACAACTTCTCTTGAAATCTTGACTGTGTGCAAGTTACTTGTGCCCTGTACCTCCATTTCCCCATCTGTGAAATGGGAATACTACTTCACAGGGGTGTTTTGGCTAAAATTGTTAATATTGTGAGCTCTTTGGGGCAGGGTCTGAGGGGTGAGCAAACTACGGGCCACATCCGGCACATGGGATCCTCCTTCCTGGCCCGAGAGGCTAGCCCCCAGCCCCTCCCCCGCTGTTCTCCCTCCCCTGCAGTCTCAGCCCACTGCGCTGCCAGCACAATGCTCTGGGCGGTGGGCTGTGAGCTCCTGGGGCAGGGCAGCTGCAGAGTCCGGCCTGACCCAGTGCTCTGTGCTGCGCAATGGGGTGGCTGGCTCCAGCTGGGCGGCGCAGCTGTAGCACTGCCAGCCACCGGTGCTCCAGGCAATGCGGTAAGGGGGCAGGGAACTGGGGGAGGGGGTTGGATAGAGGGCAGGGGATCGGGGCGGTCAGAGGGTGGGGAATGGGTTGAATGGGGGCAGGGGTTCTGAGGGGCAGTCAGGAATGAGAGGAGGGGTTGGATGGGGCAATCGGGATGGGGAGGAGGAGATAGGGGGTTGGGGGCCATGCCATGAATCCCTCCCCTAACCAGCCCTCCATACGATTTCCAAAACCTGATGCGGCCCTCAGGCCAAAAAGTTTGCCCGCCCCAGTCTAGGGACATACAATCCGAGCTGCAAAAATGCTGTCCAGACTTGGTTTGATAATGGATACCAAATAAGTTGCAATGTGATATGACTATGAAAAGCCAGTGCAGTTTTGTACTGCATATGTAAAATCTTGTCATGGAGTTGGGAGGCAAAGAGGGAACACTGGGGCAGCATATCCCTTTCAATTAAATGCCTAAGTAGACTGAAATACTGGGTTTGTGAACCAATTCTTGTGTATAATTAAGAGTTAATAGGGAGTTCAATCACTTTATATTGCCTCATTTTGTTTCACTTATGTGTTTGGACAGGAACTGTGCTTTAATTGAAGTCAAAGCCCACAGCCCTAAGTGGCACAGTGCATTCTCTTTCAGAAGGGAAAAATATCATATCCCACGAGTATTACACTGAAAAAGCCAAGGATGGTTAAACTGCACTCATGATAATTATAATGATACTGCATACTTTTGTTTTCTATATAACACTTGTATAAGCAGATACCCCTTTAGCAGAGTTTAGCTTGCTTGTAACAGGGCTGAATTTGGCCATTATAGATGTGAGGTCCTAGGGTGGTTTTTTTTGTTTGTTTTCCCCAGAACTTATTCTAATGATGGAATATGCTAGCTGAATGCTTTCCCAACACATTGACTGTTTGGGGTTTTCTTCATAAGTCTTCAATTAATGAAATTTCTAGTCCCTTTTGTTGTGCTAGGTAATGTGAAGCACTGAGTTGCCTGGAGGCTGAAACAGTAGCACAATAGTGTAATGTCATTCATTGCAACTGGGGTAGGTTTAATGTGGAAATCTGACATTTTACTTTAAAATCTTCACCATTTCACTTCTGCTAGTTCTATTGGAAACATGGTGCTTATCTGGGGTGGCAGGACTTGTTGCTCTGTTTGTTCAAAAGGCTGTTGTACAGGAAAAAGGTTGCAAATGCTTTGATTTATTTTGTTATCCTCCATAAAGGATGCCCTATGTCCCAACAAATGATTAAATAAAACCATATCACAGGCCTTCCCACCCCCACCTTAACAAAATCTTTTAATTCCAATAAGGAAGAACTAGTATAAAAACATCTAATGCTGACTCTGCCCTTGTTTTCTTAATGTTCCACCTGGTAGTTCCTGTCAAACTTTTTTTTAAAGATCCTCACAGGTGCTGTGAAACATGAGGGAGACTGGGCAAAAATAATTACAATGCCTGGCAGGGGCACTGTTTAGATGACCAGGGACAGTAGATCTTCTATCTGCAATACTCTTGCTTTTATTATCAAAAATACTTCAGCTGTTCAAAAACTACTTTTACTTAGACCTTTGAACAGTTTTCTTGAAAGTATAGATCTGTGCAGTTAAGAGTGACTTGCAGATTGTAACACTTCAGGAGATAAATAATTATGCCAGCCAGCCACCTGCAGTGTCAGTCTGCACTGTTGGTGGATTGGTGCTGTTTTAATACTGACAGTGCTCCTGCAGAAGTACTGGAGATTTTTATGAAATCTCTGAAAATATTGCTGAATTGAGACTTATGTAAAAGAATGGGTTCTGGGCATGTTTTTCAGTTGGTATTGGACAGGAGTAAACATTAAGGAATAATCAGGGAAGTAATATTCTATAATCCTGCCATAACATAACATATATATAGAGCTGGGAAAAGCCAGTTAACCACAGTTTGATTAGTTTTCTGAACTTTTGTTTGAAGTGGTATATTTCTTAGTCACGAATTCCAAAGATGAAGGAAGTTACTTCTCAAAGTAAGTCAATAGCCAATCTTTAATAAATTCCTGGGCCAGCTTGTACCCTCAGTTGGAATAAATGCAAGGTGCTGAGCAACCCTCAATTCTTCTTTCATGATGGGGCTGTGTATTAGAATTCCATAGTAACATCAAAATCTGGATTATTGTGGAGTCTTCTACCCCTAAAACTGAAATTAGCCCTCTTGGTTCCACAGAGTAGTTGCAGCACTTGTGACCATTCTGTCTGCCTGAGAGCAGTGCTTCAGCTGCTTCCATCTCCATGCACCAGGGAGTGCTGCTACCCCTTCCTTCTCAAACCACCCTAAATTGCTGCTCCTTTTTCCCCCCTACCAGTTTGTTTAATGTTCTAATCTACCTCAGGGCAAGCTCCTTCCTCTTTCTCCAGTGCAAGGTGCCTCAAGTAGAGCTGGGCAGTTTTTTGACCAACACTGTTTGGGGGGGGGGGGAAGATTCCTACGTTAACCAAACCATTATGAATGTGTCAAATTCACTAACTTGCTCCAGTTGAAAAAAAAAAGTCCCTCAAACATTTAAACAGTGCACATTTTGATTCTAAATGACTAGAAATTTCCTTCAATTTCATTTTTACACACCTTCAAAAAAAATTTTCAAAATTTTCAGCAAATCAAAGTGTTTTACAAAAAAGTACATTTGGGGATGGGGGGAGAAACCTGATAGCAAACAAATCAGTTATTCACACAGGTCTAATCAGGAGACAGAGGCTCCTGCTGTATTGTTCAGGCCTTGCCTTGGAGAATGAAGATCCCTCTCCCAGCCTAAGGAAGAGAAGAATGTCTGCTCTTAACACACTGATCCAGAAGGATCAGTGAAAGGCACAGTAAATTCTGGGTGTAACAGAACCGGGAATAGTGGAAAGGGAGATGGGGTCAGGCTTACAAAAATTTAAAAGGTAAAAACTGTCATGAGAGAGGTCATAATCCAGTGGTTACTATACAGCTTCCCTTTATTGAAAAATCACATATAATATCAGCAAAAGAAACAGCCACAAACTAATCCAAGTACTAAACCTCACAGACTGCTTAGGAATGTCAGAGCAGCTGATCAGATGAGAGGACTGTTCTTCTACTTATCCAGACATCTGTCAATAGTTCTCCTTTCATCTCAGGCTGGCTTTCCAATCACACAGCCGCTTTCCCTTCTCAGGACAGTTCATCCTGCACTGGCTTGTATAGCTGCTGAGATGGCAGGAGCAGCAGCTGCCCGGTGGAGCCATTTTTCCATAGTCAGTGACTTGAGTAAGCATCTGTCATTTTGATCAGCGTACAGACTCCATTAGCATCCATCTCACTGTCCTCAGGAAACAGAGAGCCTGTGTCTTCCTTGGTTTTGTTTAGATGTCTTCTGTTCCTCCTGTAGAGGTGGCTCATGCAGTAGTTATGATGCATGACCTTGGTGTGAATTACTTGGGCAGGTTGCCAGTCCTTTTCTCCCTATCCAGTGGCAGTAACTGGCATTCTTGTGCTGTCTTCAAATCTGTACCTCTCTTATAACTATTTCAGGGTGGTTATTATCTCAAGAAGCTTGCTACATGTTGGTTTATGTCCTCCTGTCCCATGGGTCACTGAACTGCTGTTCCTAATAAACCATGATGATAGTCCAACAATACTAAGCATGGATCTCTTGAATATTCCACAGCTTTAAAAAAAAAATCCAATTATTTACCAACTTCTTTGCTAACCCTTTTGACTATGCAAAATAAGAGCTTCAACTACTCTGTCAAAGAGAATTGCTGCAATGTGCCTTACCACTGAGATTGAGAAATCCACTATACTTGGATTATGTTTTCCAGAACCCTTTGGGTTGAACAAAGGAGCTGTTTTAAGAGCAGACAGCAACAGTACATTTCTGCCGAGGAGAGGAAGTGAAGAATACTGTATTCAAAAACAGCAGAAGGTTAACACCCTGCTCTTAGGAAAAAATGCCAGGGAATCTAAAGAAGAGAGGGTAGAACTTTTGGTTAAGGCATATTCCGCAGCACAAAGCTCATAACACCTTGCTGAGGCACTAGTTCTGTAATGACTCAGGAAAGAGTGGTACCAAACCAATTAGCAACATCATATTTTGTAGCATTTAGGTGTATTTCTGAGATGGTACTGATCCAGCCTAACACTGCTCAGCTCATGAGGCCTAATGAACTCAGACCAAAATGTGGCTGTAGGCAATATTGATCTATTCATATTTGTGCAAATATAGTTCAAAGTGATAGAATATTTTGTATAAAAGAACATTATGCATGAATCTATATATAGGGCCCCATCTACACTGTAAACTTTACTTGTGTAGACAAGGCCATATGGTGTTATAACCATCTTACAGCCCTAATCTTACACACTGAGGCAAGAATGTGTGTATAGTTTTGTACATACATGTATTCAGGCTGGCTGAAAATATACCTTTACTGGGTATACATGAGCTAACAGGAAACTCAAGGCCTCAGAGAAGGGATGGCGCAAGGGGGGCGGGGGGGGCAAGGTTGTTCGGTTTTATGTGAATAGAAAGTTGTTAATAATCTAAGCACTTGTTCAACCTTTTCCATATTTGGGACCCTTTTCTCAGACTGGGCCTCCTCCCCCTTCCACCTAGCTGGGATCTAACCAGGAGTTCTCCTTATTTAGCGCTATTGGAAGCGTGGTGTGATCATGACCCCTGACAGCTGCGTGTGAGCTCCAGGCTGAGAACTCCTGGATCTAAGGTGTTACGTAATTCAACAAAGAAATATTTTTGTTATATATGATTATGTTGAGAAGGTGTCACTTTCAACACCTCTTCTGGAATTTACACAACAGGATTAATAGTGGGAATGTTCCTCTATCTGATCCAAATCTCACTGATTGCAGTGGGCTTTGACTCAGGCCCTTTATACATCAAACTAGCATCCTATCCAAATTCTGCAGCCTTAAAAAAAAAAAAAAAAAAAATTCCAGCTAACGTGGGGTGCAGCATTAAATTGATTGCAATCAACCCACTGTTCTTGTTCGTAGCTAAGATACACATCTGTTTGACTGTGAATCTACTGCTGGTTATATGCAGTGAGAAAGATTTTTAAGAGCTGGTCACTGAGTGGTTTCACAATACCGCACAGCCGGATAACTGTTGTCAGAGTTCCGCAGTTGTTCACTGACTGTTGCAGACCGGCTGACCTCCCAGACTGCAAGTTTTAGTGCCTCAGAAACTGTCGCCCTGACACGGGTTTGGAACTTCTTGCTAATCAGAACATAGAGGATTGGATTGAGGCAGCTGTTGATGAAAGCCAGGCCAGCAGAAAGGGGAATACCGCTTACAAGCAAGTCATGGAAGTGTTCATTATGGTGAGCAGATAGTTCCAGAATGGTAAATATGTGATAGGGGGTCCAGCAAACAAAAAAAGCTACAACTACCGCAAGGATGGTCCAGAAAAGCCTGCTGGAAGTCAGCATGGTTCTCTTCTTCACCTTCAGAACTAGAAATGAGTAACAAAGGACCATGGTCACTAGGGGAAAGAGGTAGCCACAAACAAGCCTCACCCAAATGAAAATATTATGCCTCATCAAAATGAGTTCTTTGTCATGCGGATGGAAGTTGTTATAGCAGATAGTGGAGTTGTGAACTGTAATTATGTCTCTGAAGTGTAAGGCTGGGGCACCAATAATAGCAGCTGAAATCCAAATAATCACACTCAGAATGAGGGTGTTCCTTAGGGTCCGATATTTGTTGGAAAAGACTGGGTGTACCAGGCGGATATAGCGGTCAAGGCTGATGATGGTCAGGAAGAAGACACTGGCAAACATATTTAGTAAAGCAATGAAGGAGTTAGCCTTGCAGAGCCATTTCCCAAAGGGCCAATGGAAGCCCATGGCCACATACGTAATGTAGAGAGGCAGGAAAAGAACAAAGATGAAGTCTGCAATGGCCAGGTTGAGGAACCAGAGGGTACTGACTGATTTATCCCATTTAAACCCCATAAACCAGATGACTATGGCATTTCCTGGCACCCCCAGGAGAAAAGCCACACTGCATAAGGAAAGAGAGATGATGTGTGCAACACTGAGATAGGACTGGGGTGGTTCATCTTCCTCATACTCATAGAGATAGGAGTAGTTGTCAAAATCTTCACTCAGCATCATTTCAGGAAACTCCATAGTGTATGGCTACGTTCTGTGGAGAAAAGGAAATGGAAAACTTAAAAGGGAAACATTCAGGTCAAATCATATCTTAAAGCTTTTTTTTTTTAAACTGTATTACTAATACCACCATAATTTCATGCAAGGTCTTGGACATCAGAAATAAATGAGTTTCACTGCTTCAAGTGTATCACTTTTTAGCTGTCCAATGCTAGCACAATGCTTTACCCTTTGAGTTGCAGAAACTGCAGGGGAGCATTCACATCTGGACAAAGAAACTATTTACACTGACACTTACAAAAGTCTCATGAAGATGTCTTTTTGTCAAATTTATGTGTCATTTTTCTAATAGTCCTATTTTTGTAAAAACCCATAAACAAAACAACCCTATATTTAGAACCTAAATTATCTGGCACAGTCCCTTAAAAAACAACAACAACCACCCAAGACTAAAATGAGTGCATTTTTTATGTCTCTGTAAGTTTGGACCTGCTCCTGTTCCTGTTGAAGTCATTGGGAATCTTGACCTGTATGGGAAATGGGTTGAGCTCTGTGGGCCAGATCCTCAGTGGGTGCAAACCCACCTATGCCAATAGTTATACTGATTTACACTGGCTGAGGATCTGGCCCTTTGTTTCCAGGATCACCGTTCGGAGTCATTCACTGTGAGGTGTTGCTTTGTACTTTTTAAATAGAAATGAAAGTAAACCCCAAAGCTGATTATATTAAAATTTAAATTACTATTTAATATACAGGTGCAGGACTGTCTTGTGGCTAGAGCACAGGACTGGGAGTCAGTTCCTGACTTTGCCACTGACTTCCTGTATGATCATGGAAACATGGGGCTGGAAGGGACCTTGAGATGTCATCAATTCCATCTGTGACTGATTTCTGTTACCAATCTGCCTGAGGCCTCAGGTGAACAGGCTGAGGCCGCAGAATCGTTTGGGGAGGAGATGATGAAACACACCAAGTGTCTAAGTTTAAAGCTTTATTAATAAAATAACAGCGGTGAGTGTTGGGACTGCTCCCACATCACTCAAAGGAAGCAAGAAAGTGTTAGTGCCCCAGTCCTAACCCACTTTCATACTCACACTCGCACAACCTGAGGCTGGCCAAGCCTGGGTATAACATAGGAAGAAGAGGGGAGGGGAGTTCTTGCCCCGTGCACGGATCGTTCAGTGTCCGCTGCAATCTCTGCCTTGCTTTGGCTCTCGGGAGGGTTTTAAGTTCTGGGATCCTATGAGGGTGTTTTCGTCTAGGGCCCTCTGTTCCCGGTGCTCTTTGTACCAATCCAAACTGGCTCGCTGTGGCCTCCTCGGCTTCCCAAAACACACCGGCTCCAGAGACTTTGTTTTCCCCCCTGTTGGCCTTCGCCATCTGATTCGCTCTCACTGTTCTCACTGCTATCTCTGCAGGCCTGCTCAACTTCGTTCTCCTCTTCTCACAGCTGGGCAGCTGCAGATTTCTCGTCACACCCATGACCTTGGACCGGGGCCAGTGTCTTATCTTCACACAGAGCTAGCTGAAGTGTCAAGTTAACCCGTTCTCTGCTCTTTTCCTCCTTCCCTCTCTTGGCCTCTCGCTCCCTGCAAAGGAATCTTCCATTCCACACTCATCCCTTTGACCCTTCCTAAAATGCCCTGCAATGCTTGCAACAGCATTAACAAGATACCATGCTGATCTGCCATCCCCAGGGGACCCCTTGAGAGAGGGGGACATTGGGATGTGACACAGTCCCCTGCACTGAGGCAGGACCAAGTAAACCTAGATCATCCACAACAGAGGTTTGTCCAGCCTGTTATTAAAAACCTCCAGGGATGGGGATTCCACAACCTCCCTTAGAAGCCTATTCCAGTGTTAAAGTACCTTTATAGTTAGAAATGTTTTCCTAATATATAAACTAAATCTCCCTTGTTGCAGATTAAACTGATTACTTCTCCATGACTACCTAAGACAGAACAATTATCACAGTCCTCTTTATCACAGCCCTTAACATATCTGAAGACTGATCAGGTCTGCCCTTCTCAAAAAGAAACATGCCCAGTTTATTTAACCTTTCCTCCTAGGTCAGGTTTTCTGAACCTTTTATCATTTTTGATATTGGCCAAATTGCTTAATCTCTCTGCATCTGTTTTCCCACCTGCAAAATGGGATGTTAAGTAGGTGAACTCAATACTGTTGGTAAAGTTCTGGGAGATACTCGGATGGAAGACATTATAGAAGTGCAAAGTATTATTCTTTCTTTTTGAGTTTGGGATTTTACAGCTTCTGTCTCCCAGTTCTGTTTGAAGTAGGTTTTATTGGACGTCTGTGGCAGAAATCAGAGAAGAGCCAGGCGTCTGTGTAGGCGAAAGGGTGCAATTAAAATGCTAGGGAGCCAAGTTTCTTGGGTTTTTTTGTTTTGTTTTGTTTTAAATTGCTAAAAATACGATCTGGAATATCAAGGTCGTAGTCTGGTGATTTAAAGTTCAGGGGTTTATTCCACTCTGACACACACAATTTTACAATGAGGAATGCTGAGGCTCAGAAAGCTAAACAGTCCAGACTTCTCAGGGCCAGATTTGAACACCCTTGCTCTTCTTGAGTAACATTTTGCTCCATGAGGAGTCCCACTGACTTCAATAGTTCTGCTCATAGAGTGAGGCAACATGCAGAAGGCTATCAGAATCTAGTCCTTATTAAAGAGTTTATTGTACAAAGATAAAAAAAATAAAAAAATTAACAGTGGGCTAGGTCCTCAGTTGGCGTAAATCAACTTCGTTCCAGTGAAGCCTCTGCAGCTGTAAGCCAGGTCACACCTGCTGGGGTCTGGCCCAATTTTGTTTTCTTTCCGAAAAGGGGCACTTTTCTCTTGGTTTGCTGAAACAGGAAATTACTTATATTCAAAGTTCATCAAAAGTGGAGTCTCATTTTAAGGGATCAATCAGATATCTTATAATGGGCAAAAGGGAAGGGTTTTTTTTTACTGCGTCATTAAACTAAAGCCATATATGTTGATGAATTTCCCTTGGCAACCAGTGAAGTGTTCCAATTCAACTACTTTAAGAAAAGTGCTAATAAAATATTTCTTGATTTAAGTGGTGGACTCCAGATTTACACAGGTGTAATGAGATCTGCATCTGGCCTTGAGTTCTTATTTGTGTCTTGTACGTCCTGGAGCACGTTGCCAACGTTTAACATGAAATTACCATATAGATGCTGGATGGGGCATAGATCCATTCCAGGAATGAAAACAATTTGTGAGGCCGATAGTAATGAAACCAGTTATTAAGAAAAAAAAGTCACAACAAAAGGTACTGTGAACCAAACATCTTTGGCTGGCTAGCAGCGGTAGCTTTAATATTCTGACAACATAAATGATTTATTGTCTGCCACAAAGGAACAAAGCAATTGATGCAGCTCATCCTAAAGAGGGTTTATTATAAAGCTATGTACAAAAAGCCCTTGAGCTGCTTGGCTTGTAAATGCCCTAGCTAGACCCCTTTAAATTGACTAGTGGTATGAAGCAAGTTTGACACACTGTATTTCTTTGCAGACTCTTTAGAACCCTTAGCATACATGATTGGGGTGACCCCCTCACAGATGGGAAGCCCCTCTCTGTGGAACACAGATAGTCTTGTGGCTTAAGGTATTGACAGGAATTCAAGAGAGCAAGAGTTCAGTTTTTGGTTCTGCCAGAGACTTCCTGGGCGATGCTAAGCAAGTCATTTAATTTCTCTGCACTTCAGTACCCCTGAACCTTCACTTCCCTACCTCACAATGTGTTGTGAGGACAAATGTGTTACAGTTTGGGTAGCATGCAGGTACTATGATATAGGAACCTATAATTACCTAGATAGCATGCTACTGAATCTGGCCCTGCCTAGCTGACAGGATAGCCTCTACAGGAATTATAACTCTTTCCTTGCCCCTTTTGACATTTTAAAGTTTTTCTGCCATTTCTCAAATAATGAAGAAAATGAGACCAGCTCTGCACTCTCTCTCTAAGCACTGAAGCATGTGCATAAGTCTAATCCTATTCAGCAAATCACTTAAACAAGTGCTTATTTTTAAGCTTGTGCTTAAATCTCATTGGCTTCAAGTACTTTACTGAATAGGGATGGATTTATGCACATGCTTAACTTTAAGCAGATGCTTAACTCCTTTGCTGAACTGAGACCTGAGGGACAAGCTGTAGAAATTAATGGACTTACATTAGAGTAAAAATGGACTAACACGGGTGAATCAGGCCACAAGTTTCATTCGATAAAATACAAATATGTTGGTCTCTGGTGAGCACTTCATTTTGAGCAAAGACTAAGCATGGAAAGTTTCAGGCCAAAAGTTCGAAGAATGTGAAAAAAAACATTCATCGTTTTAGTTATAGTGATAGCTACCAGAATAATTGCTATGCAGTAAAGAAAGGATATTCCCCAGCAGAAGGTAATGTCCAACAGGAAAGATAAGGAAAATATGACATGTGCACTCATCAAAGAGGGACTTGAGAAATTAACTGGGTGCAGATGGAGGAGAGGAAGGGTGACTAAAGCTTCCCCAAAGAACAACAAAAAGCACTATAACTAGAAATGATTCCTCAGCAGCAAATGCTTGGCAGGTTAAAAAACAAAACAAAACACACACACACAGTTTCTCAACTTCCCGCTATTGAGACAGCTTCTGGGTTTACAATCAGACCATGATTTTCTGGGAAAGAATCTAAAAAGGAAGGGCAGGAAAAACAATAAAAAGAGCCTAGGAAAATAAAGGAAAATGGATAGTAAAAGGCGTTTTAGAGGGAGAAAGGTTTAATAGCATAAAGGAGGCTTAGAAATACTACATTCATTTTGTGAGACCAGCTAAACTACTGATGGACAGCAGAGATGACGATAGCAGGCTTGTTTTGGCAGATTTGTGATCAAGAGTGATTTGTTGCATTAGTGAAGCTCCGATCAAGAGAGACCAAGTTCTGCTCTCAGTTACACCTACAGCTGAGTTCAGCTGTACTGCATGGGTGTAACGGAGAGCAGCCTATGTATGGCCTACTGGATGCAA